ATACTGTGACCTACACCTACAATTCTGGTCTCTTCCTCTGACCTTCAGAGGAAATTCCTATTATGAATTGAATGGACATTTTCCAAAATATATTCTAAAATATAGAGATACATTTTATGTTAATTTCTTTTAAAATGTTTGAATTATTGAAGTTTGAGAAAGACCAAGTCCCTGCTACTTACCTTTCTGCAACAACAGTATTTTAACAGTGTGATTCTGCTTTATGAAACTTGGCTCCTTTAGAATGTCTTTGTTACAGTGCTATATGTTAATGACCATTAAGTGAAATCAAGACAAGGCTCACATAAAGAAAATGCAGGACTGTTTTTAAAAGTTAGGAAGGTCTAAGATTACTATTGAGTGAATGATGTATTTGTATCAGGTTAGGGAATATTTTTTAGATTTTAAAAATTATACTGACATGAGTTACAGTATAATATTGTAAAGAAATAGATGATTATTACTTTGAAAAATTTAACTATTTTGCTTGCAAAAATGAATTAAAAACAATTCTGGGAAACTTACACTAAATTATTCCAATTTTTTTTTTTTAGCAAAATGATCAACTTATCTGAACCAGATACAATTGATGAAAGAGCCATTAATAAGAAAAAGCTCACCCCTTTCACTGTTTCTGTAAGTATTTGTGCTGTAAAGTAGAAGGATGTTCTTAATGAATGTTTGGGCCCAAGTAAAACCTATGATTTAACATAATTTCAGTTTCATATAAAAATGAGGTTTTATTAAATAAAAATTTAGCTGCATTTTGTAATAAATGAAATTAAGGTCCAAAGTACTTTGGATGAACTTCTTTATTTAAGATAATAGTATTCAAGCTATAGTATTATAATTGTTATTTTTATTAATGAGTACTTGCTGAATGCTAGTGCTTTTGTTGGTTGGTTGAGAAAGGAAGAGTGCATAGTTTTACTGTTTCACAAAATGTTTAGCTATTCTTTTTGTACTAAACTCTTCTGTCGTCAGCTTGTCCATTCACATCTTGTTAAAGTTCAGTAATTTATATTTACCACACTTTTCCCGTCAAATGTCTGCTCAATGGGTGCATAACAATATTTACCAAGTGCTTACTAGGTACAAGTCATGTTCTAAACGTACTGCATGAATTACCCCTTGACTCCTCCCGGCAGCCTTAAAATGAGACACTATGACTATAAAGATCAAGACACTGAGGCACTGAGGGCTCCCGTGTCAGAGCCAGGCTGCCATCCAGGGCCTCCCAGAGCCCATCCTTTATCCCTGTGCCATCCTCTACTCCACGTGCTGGTCACAACTGCAGCTGTTCAAAGTGAGCTGTTTCCTTCATTTTTGTTGGCAAGCACAATCCTTGATTTTGCTGACGCTGTTAAGGCTCTCCTGTAAGGAAGCTGTGCCCGGAGGGCGGTGGTGCGTGGTTGGTTTCAGCCTGTCCAAGGGCTACTCCCACTCCCTGTCACCCTTGAGAGCTGTAGTTAGATGTTGACGAATGTGACTCTTTCCCCCCGCTACAGTAAGCCAGGAACGTGCGTATCCCTGGCAGAAACTGCTCTTCTTGAAGCCCTTTTCTGATTGTAATTGCTGAAAGATTATTTTTTTTCACACCTTGTGTCAGGATGCTTCATCTAATATCTATGATTGTTGAAAACATTCATTATGTCTTATTTCTAGAATATATGTCACTCAATTTTTTATGGCACTGAACCTGAAATACAGCTTCTCTTGCTGTTGTATAAATTTACTTGGTTTTACTTTTAATATTTGTATGCAGTGCATTAAAGAAAATAAAGAAAAAATATTCTGTAACTATTTTGCAATAGCTACAGGGAGAGTCTGAGGGGCTAAGCCTTTTGCAGTTTTATTTTTAGAGACGGCATTCTTCCAATATGAGTAGGGTGCAGTAGTTGAGGCCTAATTGTGCCTGGGAGAGTGTACTGGTGTAGAAGGAAGAAAGGCGGGCCCCAGGAAGAGGCAAAGTGTTACCGTGGATTTTAAACCTGCTTTGTTTATTCAGTAATTTTAGAGCTCTAATTTTAGATAGATCTGCTAGGAAACTACCAGTTTTTCTTGAAACTTGATCCCAAGTGGTGTAATTCATTTGTAAAAGGTTGTAAAAATAGTGATAATATAGTTTTCACCTTCTGGTGATAGGTTATAGGCTGTCATGTTGTAGGAAAGAAAAGAAATAGGAAATGGTGAGAACGGCGTACAGTAACCGGGAAAGCGGGGAGGGGCACCAGGTAGTTAAGGGCGAGACTCGTTTTTCACCTTAGAGACTTCGGCATTTCTCTTCACCCCGTGTACTACTGAGCTGCATTTTCTTATTTATCATTATTGAAAGAAAAGTTAATTACATGAATAAGACTGAAAAGCAGATTGGTGATTTAGGGACCCAAAAGTCAGGAGACTATCAAGAGTGGGTATAGGATACTGAATCTGTTCATTATAACATGTAAAAAAATCCAGTGCAAATAAAGTACTCATATGTGCATGTCCTTTTTATTTGCATGTATGTACAAATGTACACATAAAATTAATTTCACCTTACATACAGTTGCAGTTAAAGTAGGTAAATCGTAGATCCCATTTGGACATTCCAAGTGAAGTAAAAGTGGTAATATGTAAAATGGTGAAATCTGAAGAACAAATCATGTCTTTATTCTTATTGACCCAATAAGTGTCTAGCACAGCCCTCTCAAAATTATTAACAAAAGGGAACTCACTTGGAATGGAAACTTTATGAAAAATGAAAATTTGTGAAGTGGTATGAATTAAAAGACTTTCAGTACCTATATGAGCTTGTTAATAAAGAAGAGAATAGTTAATTAATCAAAATAGAAGGGACATGAGAAGCCGTCTGAAACAGCAGTATGAACTTTCCTGCCCGGTAAAATGGGAGAGAGTGGACGGGTAGCCCAAGTTGAACTGCCGGGTTCGCTTGGGTCGTTTGTTAGCATCTCTGTAACATGCCCTGTTTACAGAGGACGCTGGAGCTCAAGGGAGAACACCTCTCTCACGTCCCAGTTGTTGGAGATTCCCCATTGTCCTTGTCTCTCCCCCAACACAGGTCTTCAGAAGGAGGGCTGAGCACCCAGGGCAGTTGTCCATGTTAAGACCTGGGGAGCAGCCTCTCTGGGGCTCTCCTGTTACTTTTTGTTCTTACAGAATTTGGAACTGGCCTTAGATGGTAGTGGTTGTCCTGTTCCCTACATACCAGTAGTTGTATTTGCCAATTAGAAAGTACCATTTATTCAACGAATCAGATTTTATCACCTTACTTTCAATCCATTTTTTAAGCTAATAACTTATAAATCATTTGCTATACCTGTAAAGCCAATGGTTTGGAATAAAATTAACACCAAAAGCTGGTTCCCCATGTATCAAACAACACAACCTGTTGATGATGAGACAAAGCTGAGTTTTACTGCTTAATGAAATTGGACAAAAACCACCTGCAAAGCCCTGGCAGTGTCTTGGGAGCTCTAAAGGACCTTCTGACTTGGCTGAAGCATGGACTGTGTAAGTGGGGTGTCAGGAGTTGAGGCTGGAGTCAGATCCTAAGGGCTTTTGATTGCCATATTACAAATTTGGACTTGACCCTCTCCTTTCCCTCCGTGCCTTTAATCACTCTTACACATTCATCCACTTGTTCAATAAATATTTATTGAGCACATACCATGTGCTAAGTACAGGGGAACAGCCCCAAACATAACAAAAACCTTTGTTATCATATATATATAACATATTTGATATATATGTTATATGCAGTAATAAACATATAAGTATATAATATGTCAGAGAAAATATGTCAGAGAATGCTAAGGAGTAAAATCGGGAATGATGAGTGCCAGCAGGGGTGTGGTGACACTTGCTTTTTTGTGTTGGGTCATTAGAGAAGGCCATTAGGTGCATTTGAGCAATATTAAAGGGCTTGTGGGTATTGGGGCAGAGGGTCCTCCAGGCAGAGGGTCCTATGTAGTGAGTGAGAGGACACAGTAGGAGTGATAGGGAACACCAGAAGGGTTTTAAAGCTAGGGAACACAATCAGGTTTCTCTCTTACTAAGGTCGCTGACAGCAGAGTGTTGTGGAGATGGATTGTAGTCAGTTTGAGATGAGTGTGAGGTAGGAACTGAGAAACCTGAAGAAAGGCATTGACAGTTCCACAGGTATTTAGAAGGTAGAATTGACAGATACTGGCGACTGGATGTGGGAAGCAGGGAAGACCAAGGGTTCCGCTCCGATTTCTGACGAAGGAAGAAGGAAGGCAAGAATGGATGTTAGTCCTATCACCAAGACAGGAAATAAAGAAAAGCCGGTTTAAACAGGTAACTAGAAGAAGATCGGCAAAGCATGGCAAGAAGATTGCTTGCTTTGGATATGTTGAGTTTGAGGTACTTGTGAAACACCCAGATAGACCTGACCAAGTGAGTATATAGGTGTAGAGCTTAGAGTGGGGACTGGGAGAAAGTGTGGGCTGGAGAGGCGGATTTGAAAGTCATTGGCATATAGAGGTAATAGTTAAAGCCATAGAATTTTTTTTGAATAGTGGTGTTTTGCTTATTTAAATATTACTTATGTTTAAAGATCTGAAATTTCACAATCCATTGTTTCTTTTTTACCTTCTCAACTTGTTGATAAGACTTTAGGAAGTACTTCCTCATGGGTATTTTTCTTTGTGGCAATTCAGGAAAATTTAAACCTTGCCCTGAATTCTGCCTCGGCCATTGGATGTACAGTGGTCAACATTGGTGCACAGGATCTCAAGGAAGGAAAGCCTCACTTGGTCTTGGGACTTCTCTGGCAGATCATCAAAGTTGGTCTTTTTGCTGATATTGAGATTTCCAGGAATGAAGGTATGATCATCAGAAATACTTAGTTTTCATTGACGTATACCTACTACAGGAAGAATTTATATTTCATTGTTTTCCGCTCAGCCCTGATTGCATTGCTGAATGACGGTGAGGAACTAGAGGAGCTGATGAAGCTGTCTCCGGAGGAATTACTGCTGCGGTGGGTGAACTACCATTTGACCAATGCTGGATGGCACACTATCAGCAACTTCAGCCAAGACATTAAGGTTTATATTTTAATGTTCAATGTAAAACAAAAGAGATACAGACTTAAATTTGAACTGCAATTTAATTCACAAGGGCACAGTGTAGGAAATGTAATTTTGCATTTCTCTGAGAATTATAATCAGAAATACAACTGGCTGCGAAGGGAAGGAGATACTCCTTAGCAGGTGAAAGCATTCTTTCCATTTTATAGACTAAATTATACAGTGAATGTCAGTCTGAGAATTCCATCTGTTTGCTGCGCTGGAGGCCCTTGCTGCCTGACCGGTTCAACACTCTTACTGCCACTTTGCCAATAACCAGCTAATAGGAAACCAAATTACCTGAGGGCACAGGGAGTTAGTAGACAAAAGGAGGTCTTCAGGTCAGTCTCTCAATACGGTCGCTGGAAACACTTCCCTCCCTGTTGGGAGACTGTTGTCAAGGGAACTGTAGCATTCAGCCTGCCTAATAACAACTCTAATGGGCACTGTCAAGACAGGCATTGCCACCTGGGGTCCCTGTGACTTTTTCTTCTTTATGCTTTTTCTTTTTTCTCTTCAGACTAATCAATGTTGACATTAACTCATATTTTCTCTTTATATTAACACCTTCAGTCAAGTTATGTTCTTGCCATAATGGGCTAGATGACAATCTCTCTCTTTGAAATGACATTGTATTTCTCTGCTTTTGTCTGTTATATGCTCATTTAAAATTTATTTGGGAGGCTCTCTCTTTTTTTATAAAGGAAGTTTATTGGTTTTTAAATGACTCAAATTGCAAATAAACCAATCAGCTAGTGGCTTCAGCCTAAGACATGTGCTGCATCTTTGTCAGCTGGTGGCGTAGCACCTCAGTACCCAGGAGAGGAAAGGTCTCAAAGCAAAGTCACAATTTAGTGATTAGGGCCCTGGTTAGATAAGACCACGGTGAGTTCACATGGAATCGCTGGGCCACGGTGCCAGTATTACATTGGTACTTTAATTCTGCACATGGCACAGCCTGTGAAAAATATGAACTGAAAGACATACACCTCACACCGTTTAAGGACAAATATTTAACATCACAGGCTGAGTGTAATATCTAAAGAGTTGAGTTTCTTAAAAGCCTATGTTAACTTTACATACATATCTGTTACCTGTACTACCTGAACACATCTTTGACTTATTGAAATTAGGACTGAACAAAAGGAAAGAAAAATTGTGAAGCAACTATCTTAGCTCCGTTCCAAAGATGAAAAGAAAAATCTGGCAGTGGTAGATTTCTCATTGACATTATGTTCCCAAATTGCATGCTATAATTCTCCCAGTGGGCATACCACAGGGTGACACATGCCTAGTATTTGGTCTGTGTAGACTGAACATATTTTCTGCCCTATACTCAGGTTAGATTGCTTGATGTTAACTTTAGAAAATGTAGCTACAGTATTCTTCATCATGTACACACACAGAACTGCAAATACTCCTAATAACTTCCTTATAGCCATTCTGCCACCTCACGAGTACACATTTAAAAATTGACAGGTGGCAAACATGAATATTTCCCCAAAATGTTCTAGTGCAAAGTGGATTAGCACTGTTGATGTTGAAGTTTCCTGTGCCTGCTCCAGAGAGAACAAAAACTTAACACATGCTTACCACTTGCAGAAAGGGATTTCCAGGGCCTGGCTGGGCGTGGCTCAGCAGTTGAGCATCGACCTAGGATCCAGGAGATTGAGGTTCGATTCCCGGTCGGGACTCATGCCCGGGTTTCGGACTCAATCCCCAGCAGGGGGTGGCCGATCGGTGACTCATCATTGATGTTTCTCTCTCTCCCTCTCCCTTCCTCTCTCTGAAATCAATAAAGATATTTTTTAAAAAAGAAAAAAGAAAAAAAGAAAGGGATTTCCAGGGACCAGCATCTCAAATAAAAAGAGGGTTGCTGAAACATAGCTGGTGGTGAACCCTCATAGTCTAAAAGTATATCGCAAGTCTATGTTGGCCTTTTATTTTAAACTACTGTGTAGTTAATTAAAAGCAGTCAGGAGCTCTGGAACCTTACTTGCAAGAACCAGACTACGACACACATTTTAAATTTGGACAGACTGCCAGCAGACAATTACTTCTCAAGAATCTTCTACACACAAGTTGTACTCCATACTAGGCCTATATTCTCTCACCAGGACACATGGGCACTGGGCCCATGGCTCCAGTGAGGACGCACCCAGAATGCTGTAACCTGGTATTTTTCAGTTTCTAAATTAAGGCATAGTCAAAAATTTCCATGTACAAGTTTGCAACACTTTTCTAAGTTAGTCACCAGCTAATTAATTCAGGTTCACAGATGAATTACTCTCATTTTAACTATATACAACAACCATGCCAATTACTATTCTTCTATATTTTCTTTAATAATAGTTAAAAAAACTGGTACAGTTGAACTATCATGGTCACCATTGTCATTTTCAGGGCAGTAGAAGAAAGACATTTTTAAGTGATATGAAATTAAAGCTTTTTAATAAACCAGAGGAACTAGTCCTTCCTCCCACTCCCATCCCAGCTCACCTCATAACAGTCTAAGGAAGACTTCCCTCAAAATACAAGCTCGCGCATTATATTCAGGACCGTGATAAATGTAGGCAATTATGAACTAAGTTAAGCTTTGCTTCTTGGTGAAGCCACATTAATTTATTTTTTAAGTGATTTTGAGTTTCAGTGTAGTTCCAATTTGCACTTATAGTGATATATAACAATTCCCAAAATGTTAAAGTAATTTCAGTCCAGTGAGCCTTCAGAGGAAATGCTTGTACATTATATTTATTAGTATGGCCAAGATAAGAAAGCAGTTCGGGCTTTGATTATAAAGTGCAGCATCTTTCTCTGATTCTCATGGCTAAACTTCTCCTTTTCTATTCTTTTCTTCGCTGTCTTCCATCTCTCTGGCTCCAATTTCCGTCATTAAATCAAAAATACCTTGCCAACGTTAGCGGTTTTAGCAGGTTTCCACATGATTAACATTCCACCAGTGGGCTCTGGTTTTCGCCTCCTCTACAGAAAGCTGCCTTCTAAATCTGATTTGTTACCAACCAGCAGAAATGGAACTTTCTCATCTTTTTTTACTCTTAAAATATGCCCTTGTCCCCCCAGATCAGCTGTGGCTGCAAAGCGTCTGGTTTCTGTGACAGGGAGGCCAGAGGAGACCCGCTGGGAAGTGCTGGGCTAATTGCAGCGCTCCGCCCTGTCCAGGCAGCCTGCTCCTGGCTGTGCCTCATCGCTGCACTGTAGGGTCAGCCCCTGACCACCCCGCTTGCCTAGGTGACTCTATGTAGGGCCAAAAAATTTTGACTGGGTATATTTACTGCCATCTGGAATCCCAGAACTTTTACCAAAGGATTAAGAAGGATCTGCCCCCAAGCCAGCCCTCTACCACCCCGGCCAGAGCCTGTGGCTCCTGTCCCTGAGGCTGCTCACAGGGAGCCACAGCAGGAGGAGGAGGACCGGGGCTCCCCAGGGGGTTTCACCTCCTCCTGGCCACGGGGGGCTCTTCTCTTTTAAAATTCAATGCATCAGGTATTTATTAAACCCCTGCTGTGGAACCTGATGCCAGGCAGGGGGGTTGCGAAGATATAGCTCTTGAAGCTTACCAGTTACACAGGGAGAGACACTTCTAGTAGATGAATAGATATTTCAATGATCTAGAAACTGCTGTGCAACAAGCCACTCAAAATTAATAACTTGAACAGTGACTTGTTTCTCGGGATTCCGTGGGTTAGTGCAGCTCTGTTGGGTGATTCCGCTTCAGATGGTTCTGGGTGGGATCACTGGCTGGGCCTACACCGGTTAGCCTAGTGACTCACTGCTTCCCCGGGGGCCTTTGCACCTAGCTGGCTGGGTCGTCCTCTCGCATGACAGCCTCCGGCGGTTGGGCTTGTTATGTGGAAGCTGAGGTCAGGAGGACAGCAGGCGCTCCTCTGGCCTGTTGGCAGCCCCAGAACACCACTTCACCTGCATTCAGTTCGCCAAAGCACTGTCACAAGTGCAGTCTCAGTTAAAGGCAGGCAAGTAGAACCTGCCTTTTAATGGGAGGAGCTATATGTATGTTCCGGGAAGAATTATGATAGCCATCTTTGCATATGACCTCCTTGGATGATTTATTACAGTGTGGCCACTTCTAAGAGAATCCTGGGAAGGCTTCCAAGAGATAATACTTACCCCTGATCTTAACTGATGCTGATACTTGGCAGTGTAAACAAATGAAGAGGGTGGGGAACGGTATTCCAGGGTAGGGAACAGTGTTGCTAGAAGCTCTGAAGTGGAGAATAGCACAGTGACTCAGGAGCCCGTAAGTAAGAAGTAAGTTAATGGTTATTCCATTTCATAGATGAGGGCTATTTCTTCAGGTTGAGCACTTTTTTCCTAAATCTAATAATGACTTTATTCATTTTAAAAATGTTATTTTATTTCTTTCTTTGAAGGATTCAAGAGCCTATTTTCACCTGCTTAATCAGATTGCACCTAAAGGTGACCGGGATGATGGGCCTGCCATTGCGATTGATCTTTCGGGATTTAATGTAAGTACAGTTTTTAACTTAATTTTTTTTAAAACTTTGGTAAAATAAGCATAAGATAAAATTTACCATTTTAAGCATTTTTAAGTATACAGTTCAGTGGCACTAAGTACATCCCCATTGTGTACAACCACTGACACTATTCCATATCTAGAGCCTTCTCATCACCCATAGTGAAATCTACCCAATAATAACTCCCCATTCCCCTCGCTCTCAAGTCCCTGAGTTTGACTAGTGATTATAGTCCAACTGAGAGTGCAATTCTCAATAGGCAACATTCCCTGTGGAGTCCCCAGCCCTCCATTATAGCTTGGTGTTCAGAAGTTTTTCATACCCTAAGTTCCAAATCTCCATGCTAAGTCATCTGGTTGTCACGAAGAAAGGAAATTACAGAATTCCATCCTTGAGTATGTGTGCAATTAACTCTATATCTACCTTCCCTGGGGCGACACAACTGGAACTCACAGAGTGTTTTTGTGCCGATCACTGTGTATTAGGAAAGGTAGCGACGAGCCATTATGAGATGGCTAAACAATGGATGATTGGCTTTTCCAGCTTATATTTGCAAACACAGAGAATAAAAGATGACAATTCCTTGTATTTATGGGGTAGGAAGGGCTGACACAGATCCTGATCCATCTAACACAATTCCTAGGAAGCCCATTCTTTTAGCATAAGTTGTAAATACCAAGGGTGGTTCTATCTAAACATTAAAATCGGGTAAGACTATGTTTGTATGAAAATCTCTTAAGTATTTAAAGTACAATGTCCACAATATTTAGTTTTAAAGGCAACTTAAGTCATTACTTAATTATATTTCAAATTATTATAATGAAACATCTAAGAAACTTAGTATTAAAAAACTATGCAAATTTGCAAATTAGTCTGAGTCAAAATTAGGAACTGAGAAAAACATGTAAAATTTCAAACATATTCAAAAGTAAACAGATTTAATGTACTGAACTACTCTTTGTTCATCCCCAAAGTTCAACAGCTATCAGCTCATGGTCAGTCTTTTTTCACTTTTATCACCTGCCTCTTTCCTTCCTCTCCCGTATTATTTTGAAGCAAATTCTTTACATCATATCTTTTCATCGATAAGTATTTCAATGTGTATTTCTAAAATATAAAGAACTTTTGATATCTCTCTGAGGGAAAGGGAAACACAAGAAAAAAATAAACAAATGGCACTACATCAGACTAAAAAGTTTCTGCACATCAAAGGAAACCATCAACAAAATGAAAGGGAACCCACTGTATGGAGAACATATTTTCCAATGACACATCTGATAAGGGGTTAATACCCAGAATATAAAAAGAACTTAATACAACTCAGTTCCAGGAAGACAAACAATCCTATAAAAATTAGCAAAGGACCTGAATAGACACATCAAGAAGGCATACAGATAGATTTGGAGAAAGGGAACCCTAGTACACTGCTGGTGGGAATGCAGACTGGTGCAGACACTATGGAAAGCAGTATGGAGGTTCCTCAAAAAATTAAAAATGGAACTGCCATTTGACCCAGTGATCCCACTTCTAGGAGTATATCCTAAGGAACCCTAAACATCAATCAAAAAGAACATATGCACCCCTATGTTCATAGCAGTGCTATTTACAATAGTTAAGATCTGGAAACAGCCCAAGTGCCCATCAGTAGATGAGTGGGTAAAAAAGCTGTGGGACATTTATACCATGGAATACTACGCAGCTGTAAAAAAGAGGGGTCTCTTACCCTTTGGGTCAGCATGGATGGAACTGGCGAATAATATGCTAAGTGAAATAAGCCAGTCAGAGAAAGACAAATATCACATGGTCTGACTTATATGTGGAACCTAAAGAACAAAGTAAACTCACGAACAAAATAGGACCCGAGGCATGGAGGCATGGGATAGACTGAGGGATCTCAGAGGCGAAGGGGGTGGGTAGGACGGGAAGAGACAACCAAAGAATATATATTCATATATGCACAGTTCAGTGACACAGACAATAATGTGGTGAAGGCCATGTGA